ACTGGCCAAGATGGTTGTATTCGCGGCAGACAACAGCTTAGCGAGCGGTCTGGCTATGTTCATGCAGGCCTTCCGCCTTGTGGAGAATGCTGGACACGAAGCAGCTTTTGATGTCCTAAGATCTGCGGGTGGCCACTTGGTGAACCGGATCATCTCCAATACGGACAACATGCTCGAACCCGAGTTGTATCAGTCGTTCCTGTTGTCAACGCCACGGTGGTTAGGGGAGTGGAGTCCAGCAGTCGAGTCAATGCTCTGGCTACATCACCCTTCGACGCCCAGCACGGGTCCTGGACTTCATTTCGTCCAGAACCCTGCCGGCGCTATCAGATTCGTTGAAGCATCCCGGAGTCGACGCAATTTCCTTGTACAGCTCTGCTTAGGGACCGCCCGGCAGCTGATGGAACAAGAGAATTTCGCGGAAGCGCAGATCGTGATGCAGTTCACAAAAGATCACTTCGCTGATGTTGTTCTACCGAAAGAAGCAGTCATTGAGCAGCCAAAGGAACAATCGAGGAAAGCACACAGGGAACAAGAAAACCTGCGGTTGCTGGATCGCCTAGTTTTGACTTAACAATTCCTTCATACCATCAATTGTAAATAGCCGCGACTGGTTCGCAGGTATTTTTGGGCGGGCAACCCGAAGATTCCATGATTACTTATGTTTGTGTATAGGCCTTATGGTAGTGCACCGGGGTCTGGTCTGGGCGTGCGGGGGAACGCCTACAACCGCGTCATGTCACGCGAATTCACGATCTCACGATCACAATGATCTGCAAACATGCGAAGACGTGATGTAATAAATCTCACGATCGATTCATTTCCATGAGCTGATCTAAATAAGTCTCTTGTTGACTTTTGGTATCGCTAAAAACAAAATATCGAAATATGCCGTATCATCGTGATTTCATCGCCCCGCTCTATGCCTTGAGCTCACCACCGTCGGTCTCCTCTGGCCAGACATCGTAGCCGAAGGTGTCCTTCATGTTGACGAAACGAGTGTGTCGTCCATTGGCGACCTCCTCGACGGCGTCAAAGTCGGCCTTGCTCAACTCGGGAATAAGCCAGTTGCTCTCGATGCGCTTAGGGGTGGAGCTCTTGGGCAGAACAACGTATCCGCGCTGGAGACCCCAAGCAAGGAGAACTTGCGCAAGGTCGTAGCCGCTTCGCTCGGCAACTTCATTGAGCTTGGGGTTGGTGCGGACCTTCTCGCCGGTGCTGGGGACCTGGTTCTGAGAGCCGAGCGGCGAGTAGGCAGCGACGAGAATGTCGTTTTCCTGGCAGTACTTGACGAGCTCGGTGTTGGGGAGGAAGGGGTGAACTTCGATCTGGTTGATCATGGGCTTGACCTTGGCGATGCTGAGCAGCTTCTTCAGGCCAGGGATGGTCCAGTTGGAAACTCCGATGGCCTTGGCCTTGCCCGAGTTGTAAATCTCCTCCATGGCGCGCCATGTTGGCTCCGGGTTCTCGGTAAGCTCCTTCTTGATGATGTATTTGCCGTCGGCGCCCAGCTTGGGCATGTGGTTGTCGTCGCTCTCCGCGGCAATGGGCCAGTGGACGAGGAACGCATCGATGTAGTCAACGCCCAGGTTCTTCAGCGAAGACTCGAAACTCCACTTGACCTCCGCGGGCTCGTGCAGGTGGTTCCATACTTTTGTGACGATGAAAAGGTCCTCGCGCTTGACGTTGGTGTTTTCCTTGAGGAAGTCGCGGACGGCCTCGCCAACTTCGCCCTCGTTCTGGTAGAACCATGCGCAGTCGAGATGGCGGTAGCCGGTCTTGAGCGCGGTCATTACGGCGGCGTAGGTCTCGCCCGATGCGCCCTCGCTGGCGAAGGTGCCGAATCCGACGGCTGGCATGATGACGCCATTGGAAAGCTTGAACGTCTTCTCGTTTTGGAGGGGAGCCATATTTGCGGTGTTTGTAATTCTTGAAGTTTGAAAATGTATCTTGAAAATGTAGAGTCAAGATGAAAGTGGTCAAGTAAGTTTTGAAATAATTTATTCAGCGGCAACAGCGCGTGCTGGGACTGTGAAGCTACATATATCCAGCGTAACCTTGGTTGGTCTGAAATCTCTTCGCTCTTTCATCATCGCCCATCTGCTCGGACAGCTCCCCAGCCACGCTGCCGGCCGTGACCTCAGACCGAGAGATTCCGATCGCAGAAGCATCTCGCAGGCATCGGTCCCATTGCGAAAAAACTCCATAATAGTCCCATCCAACAGTTTCACGTAGACCCTCAGAGTAGGCCGTCAGCAGCAGCGATGACGTCGACGGTGGACTCAGGGTCCACAGCACGGGCCGAGCGCTGCCATTTTGATTGCTGGCGCGGAAGTTTTGCCGACCTGAGCTTCGTACAGGTGAAAATGTGGAACGATGTAGTCCCAATAGTCGTGCGGCTCTGCCGTTGTCAGCCACTCGTTTAAGCAGATCACTAGCTGCCTTCGCCCTAATTCGGCGAGCCGCGGTTACCTCGCCCCACCCATCCTTCGTCACTCCCACATGCTGCTGCAAGTACCGCCGCGACTGTCTGCACGCTGCCTGCACCATCTACACTCTGCTACACTCGCTTCTACTGATTCCCACATGTCGCATACTTGGTGTATGCACGCCAACCGCAACTGACAGGCGGTGTACCGTGCCTTATCTTCCGGCCGCGCTCTGCCTCCGGTCAAATGAGGCTCTGCGCTAAGCTTTCACGGCTTCGGCCAAGGGTATACAACGCGCATTCCAGGTGTTGTGGCGACTCACAGCACTACGCTGCTATCGGTCCCCAGTTTTCGGCGATAATACGGCGGTGACGGTATCCAGTTCTCATTCTCTGGTTCAGCAAACTTCTCCACTAGTGCTGCTATGCACGGCCACCACAGCAGCGTAATGATGTCGCGCTGTGGGTACAGAGGTACTTGTTGAACGCTCAAGGTGCCAGAACGTGGTTGGTGTCACCGGCCTGAATCGGGATAGCGAAAAGCTCCTGCGAAACTTTCCAGAAGAGATTGGCGAATGATGATGGCATCTGGGGTTCATGGACGTCGCTGCCTGTCAGAGTGACGAGTGATGTGATATATAGCCCCTCCCCCAGAAGACCCTGAGACTGCTCTTTCATCATCACAACTCCACTTCTTCAGCATCACATTCAGCTTCTGAGAAGACTGACACTACTACTTTCTTCACTCGATACCCCATTCTTATCCCAACTTCAACCACCATCATCATGTCTCCCTCCGCTGTTGAGAACGAGGCTCAGACTACCTCCAACAAGGCTCCTGAGCTTCCCATCCCAGCTGACCCTCAACAAGATGGCACCGACAACACCGTCGAGGTCCCAGCAACCCGAAGTGCCATGGCCGACACCACTGGCTACATGCACAACCTCTCCCTCTCGCCCTCCATGAAGGAGAGGAGAGGATCCCGCAACTCCTTCGGTACCTCACTGCCCATCCCCCGTTCCAAGAGGCAGTCGAGGCTCTCGTCCGTTCACTACCCCGATGGCCGTGGTGCAGCTGTCCGCCCTGGCATGCCCCCGATCCAGCCATCTCGCGACATCATCGCTGCCCAGCTTCAAGATCTCGCTGGCGAGAAGGTCCGCGCCGCCAAGGACATGGCTTTCGTCTTCGACATTGACGGTGTCCTCGTCCACGGTGACCGTTTGATCCCCGAGGGTCAGCGTGTCCTTGAGATCCTGAACGGAGACAACGAGCTCGGCATCAAGATCCCCCACATCTTCCTTACCAACGGTTCCGGTAAGCCCGAGCAGGCTCGTGTCGACCAGCTCTCCAAGATCCTCCACAACCCCATCTCGACCGAGCAGTTCATCCAGTCGCACACTCCCATGCGTGCCTTGGCCGAATACTACAAGACCGTCCTCGTTGTCGGTGGTGAGGGCTACAAGTGCCGTGAGGTTGCCGAGCAATACGGCTTCCAGGACATTGTCGTCCCCAACGACATCATCGCCTGGGACCCCACCATCGCCCCCTACCGTGTCTTCACCGACGAGGAGCGCAAGACTTCCCGCCCTCGCGACTTCAGCAAGGTCAACATCGAGGCCATCATGGTCTTCTCCGACAGCCGTGACTACGCCACCGACATCCAGATCATCATGGATCTCCTCCAGTCCGAGAACGGCAAGTTCGGAACCCGCGCCAAGGACCCCGTCTCCCAGCGCATCCCCATCTACTTCTCCCAGGGTGACATGCTGTGCCCCACCGAGCACCCCTTCCCCCGCATGTCCCAGGGTGCCTTCCGCATTGGTCTCGAGGCCATGTACAAGTCGCTCACCGGCGTCGAACTCGAGCGTGTCGTCTACGGCAAGCCCGAACTGGCTACCTACAAGTACGCCGACGAGGTCATCGCCTCCTGGATGGAGACCATCCACAACGACGAGAAGCTGCCCGCCAACATCTACATGATTGGTGACAACCCTGCTTCCGACATCGTCGGTGGTAACATGTACGGCTGGAACACTTGCCTTGTCCGCACTGGTGTCTTCCAGGGCGGCGACAACGACGAGCAGAACCCTGCTTCCTTCGGTGTCTTCAAGAACGTCTTCGAGGCTGTTACCACCGCTATGAAGAAGGAGCTCGGCGAGGACTTCAAGTTCAAGTTTGACGACAAGATGAACCCTGTCAACCTTGAGGGTGGCCAGTCTGCCATTGCTTAAGTGCTTTGATGGGTTGAGAGTTGTTGTACATAAGCATTTTACTGGCGTTTCATGTTTTTTTTTTTCGGGATTATATCCTTGCATAGCGAAGCTTGCAAATCACCTTTATAGATCAACGAGTTTACTATATAACTGGGTCTACGGATTCTGGGTTTTCGGTTTTTATATAGATTACGATGAATTCTAAAAGTTTTCTACCTCTTACACGATGCTTTCTATCATATGCTCAGAATGTGAGGACTTTGCTTACCGCATGATATTTTGTCTACTACCTCTTGATCGCTTGTTCTCAGCACTGAAATCATCGCTCTGCGACATCTCTTACACTCAGAGAAAAGCACTACTCATCATCATCCTCATCTCCAAACCCCACCAACGCTCTCCTCAGCCTAACCTCCTTCCCCACCCCATCAACTTCACACGTAGCTTTACACTCATACCGCCCCTCAAGCCTAACCCAAACATCCCTCAACAGATACCTCGCAAGCGTCCTACTCTGATACAGCACAAACTTCTCATTCGTAGGACTGATCCCGTCTTCTTTCCCTACCACATCTTTCTTCTGCGGACTAGGACTAGACAATATGATCTTGCGGGGTGATGTGACAGGCTGAGCCGGATCGGATGATAGTTGAAGGCATGGATCTTCAGTGCCAATAGGCACAAAAGTATCCCAAGCTGGTACTCCATCGACGATTGGAGTCGAGCCTGCTACGGGTGAAGCATAAGTGTCGTACCATAGTCCTGTTGCGCCGATCATGGCTTTGACGTAGAGAGTCCAGGAGAGTGAGAAGCCTAGGTTGCGGTAGGAGCCTGCCTGTTGTTTCTGTTAGTTTCGTCTCTATTCTCGTCGTAGTCGTGGTTGTTGAGGCTTTGTTCTGTCGGATGTGCAGGGAGGACTTACGATGATGGCATTTCCCTTCCTTCTAATCACAAAGATACTCCCTGCTTTATTCCTTTCTACTTCCCGTCTATACACGAACTCGTCGACCCGCGGGTCCAGGAACGCTTCTACACACTGTCTATTCGTGTGACTGAGAATCGTGGCGATGGCGTCGCTGAGACGCGGGTACGCGACTTGCACCAGCGTGTCTTGAGCGTTGAAATAAGCGTCTAGGTCGATGACGTGGGGAGCGCGGACGGAATCCCTGGTTTGGTCGTAGTGGAAGTACTGGGAGCCGGGCAGGAAGACAGAGGTCATGACTTTGTCGCAAATGTCGCCCGCAGGATTGGAGTAGTATGTGTTTTGCAGTTCTTCTAGTTTGTCTCGCAGGGCTTCTTCTTCGCGGAGGAGGGCGTCGGAAGCGCGTTTTGTGGGGGAGGAGGGGAGGAGGGAAGTCAGTGTGGCGCTGAAGCGGGATAGAGTGCTGGTGTTCGTTAACTTTCGCGGACTGGCTTGACCGGGGTCTTTGAAGGTCGCTTTGAAAGTGGAGGAGATTTGAGTAGCGTCTAGTTCACCCCATTCATCGTCGTCGGGTTCCCAGAGGGGTTTTCCCTTGAATGGTGAGAGGTCGCGGAGACTGGCCGGCATGGCTTTAGCAACGTCAGTTCGGTGTGTTCGAGGTTGTGCGGGGAGATGTGGGCTAGAAGAGAAAGGCGAGTTGAGCGAGAGCGTCGAGCTACTTGGGGAGCTATCGAAGTCTTCTTGCGCAAACAGTGGTGCGATTTCGGAGCTGTGCTCCGTTTGCGCCACTCCGACGTCGAGATCAGATGATGGAGGCGGTAACTTTGCGGCTTGCTTTGGAATCTGGTCCGCCCAACTGATTGTCCGAATGCGTCTCGAGGTAGGTCGTGGCGATAGCGTTTTCGGTGAACTCGGAGCAGTCTTGCTCGTTTTGGAGGCCTTGTATCTTCGATGCTCAAAGTCGTCGCGTTTTGCACTGATGCTGTTTTCACTACGAGCGCGTAAGAGCGCATTTCCCCCAGCGATTTTGGAAGGTGAGCCAGAGTGAAAGATCGATGTTAGCCCCGGAAGCATGTTCATAGAACTCCCCACCACACAATACGAGGAGCCTGACGATGACAGTTCGGTCGAGTCTACAGCTACTGACTGGTGGTCTTCAGCTCCGTCTTTTCTACGGTCTGCCGTGTTACGACGAAACAAGGAGCTGAAGAAGCCTCCACTTTGACTATTGCTCAGCGAGCGCGGTAGAGTTGTCCTTGAAGATGATCTCGAATACCCAAAGAGACCTGATCCGAAGATGGACTTTGGCGAGCTGGGAGGGGTTGCCGTCAATGTTGATGATTGCGGACTTCCAGGCACCTTAACGCGTGGGTATTCCAAGTCTAGCGGTTTGGGTGGAATCGTGCAAGCCTGTGCTGTTACGGGTGGGAATGGTACAGGTGTGATGGTCTTCGTGTGCTGTAACGCGGATTGTACAGGAGCCTTCGGGCCTGACTTTGCGAGTAGATCACGTAGCCTTTCTGCTGCGTCGCTATCCTGCATGATGGCGATCGAAGAGTATGGAGATAGCCAGAGGCTGAGCAAGTTGATTGAGTTGAGGGCGGAGTGTTTGCTGTGCTCGTAGGGACCAGGGGAATGAGAAAGTGCAACAGTGAGAGTCGATGCTTAATTGGACCTCTGTCACAAGAGCGACGGTAGGACGTAGAGGATTCACACTCGCTTCAACCATGTCTCTTGCGACTTCAGTGAATGGCCGCACATAAATGGCAGTCAAGGCGGTAGACCATCACAGCAAGCTGGTACCGTTGTAGTGACAAGAGCATGCGAGACGGGAAGTGCTCAGACGTTTGTTATGAAAATCACACAGCCGTGAGTATAGAGTTGCTCAACCTAATAACATGTAAGCATATGTTCATAAAACTGACAGATGGTTCCCTCAACGTCGTCCCGTGGTATTGCGTATCATCTAAAGTGGACATCAAGTGAATCATAACGAAAGCATGCCGAGTGGCTCGCGTGTCAGTAAACCCACAATCTGGTCGAACGCTCACAAAGTGTGCCTGTGATCGAGTCAGTCCCGTTCAGCAACTCCAACATTCCAGTCAAGTCCTGCAAGCAACCGCCACATATATCACATCCATCCACGCGATGCTCGTTGGGAGTTGGTAGATTTTCGATTCATTCAGGGAGAGAACCCAGACTCTTGATATGTCGTCGTAATCGTAGGTCTCCACAGATCCATCATCTCCACCCCCCTCCTTCGCAGCGCTGCAAGAGCAACTACCACGCCATCATATTGTCCATACTCGTGAAGTCCGTATAGATGCCCATAGCTTTCGCAAAGAACTCCGGTAACCGAATAGAAAATGCCGCTTTCCCCTTTTCCCCGAGAGTTTGCGTGCGCTTATCGCAGACGCCTGGCCTCACGCTCGGACTCGAGCAGGCAGAGAATGTCGTTCTCGCGGACTGTGATGTCTCCGTTAGTATGCGGGGATTTCGGTCAGCTGGCAGGTAGAGCGTGCGTACCTGGGCCCTTGACGTTGCGGATGATGGAACGGGTCTGGTCGTTCATGAACTCGACGCGGCATTGGGTGACACCACCACGGGAGCCTGTTATTATCCGTCAGCCTGCCATTCTCTCACGTTGTGCATCCCCCAACTGTTGTATGCGCTCGTCTCGCAGAAAAGTTCGGGGTCTTCGGAAAGTTCGCGTACCGGTTCGGCCAAGGACACGGGTGACCTTGACGAGGTTGACGGGGGCCTTAGCAGAGTCCATTTTGTGCGGTTGTGAAGTTCGACGGGAGTCGGTCGTTCGGTGTGCGGAAGAGCTGGGTTGGGCGTTCGGAGATGGAGTTGTCGCTGGCGATGCGTGAGAGCTGGTGTGAACGGTGGGCAATTTTGCAAAGTGCGCTAGCTAGGCGAGCAGGGGTGTGGCGCTAGTGCCCCGTCCATTCACTTGGGCGGGCAACACCACCATCAACACCCAGAGCATCACGACTTAGGTGATTCATTCAACATCTTGGACAATTACGGGCGTTATGAAGAGCTATGATCTGTGGCGCGACTTCCAAAGGTTCGATCGTCGCAACACCAAGTGCCCACGCAATCATCACACACATCCCACAATGCACCAAGGACAGCAGTTCTCAACGACATTTTTCATTCCATCTATCTAGTAAAGAAGCGCCAAATCGCTCAGAGGGGTATAAAGCGCCTTCCAACGCCTTGGGAAGTACCCGACCCTCCGTAGCTCTTCCAGCCATGCCCACCCACGTCCGAACTAGTCATACCGAGGATCGGCTTCCATGTAAACAAGCTTGCAAAACCTCAAATCCCTGAATGAAGGTGTGGGGGGATCTGAAGCAAGCTATATCACCGACTGTTACCTACATAACCGCAAACCTTCTCCTCAGCGGCGGAGGCGTAAACTGCGAACCGGGCTTCCTCGTGGCCTTCACAACCTTCGTAACGGTATGCTTGACCGTGTCACAATCGACTTTGGTCTCGGTCGCAGTGGTAGTCGAAGTGAAGACGTTTGCAACCTTAGTAACAATGGAAGGCTCGGGAGCGGCGGTGAAAGGCTCGGAGGTCACGACAGACGCCTCATGAGCCGGACCATAGGTGAAAGGCTCAGGGGCCGCAGCACGGCGGCCAATCGGAGGAATCTGCCATATATCATGGCAGTAGCCGAAGGAAGGGAGGCAGCCGGGGTTGCAGTGAGCGGCTGTGTCGCCGCAGTAGCCGTAGGGACTGCAGCAGGGGCCTTTCGGAGAGCCGTTGCAGGTGAAGCCAGTTGTGCCGCCGCCTGTCAGAATGTGGTTAGTGATGTGTTCAGGACGAGGCAGGCGGGTGAAAGACATACATTGACCATTTGGAGAGACGATCATGCCATTGGGAGCGATGACAGGAGGCTGGACGACAGGAGGCTGGACAACCGGTGCAGGAATGGCCTGGTGGACGGAACCAGCAGCCTTTGGTTCCTTGCCAAAGAATGTCTGGACTCCTGGGCCGTCGGTACCTGTGATTGATCATCAGTAACTGTCCGAACGTTCAAGGAGGCCAGTGAACTTACAAGTCTCGACAAAGATATCAGCACCAGCCCAGCACATGAGGCTTGGCTCATTCGCGAACCCGCCTGGGCTAAGATAAGTGTTCACACACTTCTCCTCATTGCAGTACGCATATGGGCAGTCTTTCTTGTTCGGTACTGGGTTGATGTAGAGTTTCACGCCACCTCGGATGAGTGCTGAAAATATCGTTAGTCTGCATGCCCTCTCTCTCCATCGAGGGGAAATACATACGACAATACTTCGGGTTTGCCGGCCCAGCGTGCAAATCACAATCCACAGCACTAAGGTCATACCACATATTCCCCTTGGATTCCTCAAGATTATACTCGACCTGAATGATGCCTGCAGGCCCAGGGGTATAGTAATCCAGATCCCTTATCTTCAACGAGAGACCGCCGCCGAATCTCTCCGTGTCGACCATGGGGTGAATGACGGAGCCGCCGTTGCCGGGTACCATGCTGCGGAAGGAGTCGCCGCCATCGATGTGCGAGGCCGGGGGGCCGACGGCCCAGAAGTAGACGTTGTACGGGCAGTGGTTGATGAATTTGACGTATTTGGCTGACGTCCCGAGGAAGGTGACGCTCAGGAGCGTCGCGAGGATGAAGAGGGTAAACTTCATGGTTGGAATGTTTCGTGGATGAGATAGGGTGGGATGGAATGAGGGAGGAGTCCCTGAGAAGAGCAAATTGGGAGCAAATCCCAATAAGCTTGAGGATGAACGAAATGAGAACTTTACAGGAAAGAGGAAAGGGACATATGTGGTTTTATGGAAGAGCGATTCACCCTTATTTTCCGGTCATCTTCTTCGTTGGGCCCTTCTCAGAGTCTCTTGGTAATGAAGGGGCGTTGGGGGAGCATCCATTACAGCTTCACGAGATGCTGGAGGTGTGTTGATCGGGTTTCTCCGGAGGGGTAGGAACGAGCAACACGTGCGGTCACTATTGCTTGGGTATCGCATGTAGTCCTAGACACTTCCTGCTCGCGATCGAACAGACAGTTTTGAAGTTGACGACCTTATCCCTTTGCATGCTCTTCTGAGTCTGGACTACAGTTTCTTCAATCTTATTCACCTCACGCAGGCAGAGATCATGTTGCCGTCTGGGCACTATTTTGGAAGTCGCAGTCGCGGAAGAGACGCCGTTGTCGTTGGGACGATGTACTGGTAATGTGCGTTCAACAGGTCTCGCGAGTCGTCCCTGGTACCAAACTACAAAGGCCGCCTCAGCACAACGGGAAAAACCTCATGCGAGGAGGAAAAGGAAGAGGTATACTGCAGTCTACGTTAGCATGAAATCAGGCGTTTGTACAATCATAAGAGCAATGTAGACTTTTGGGACAGTTTCTTCAAACCAACGCCATTTCAATTTTTTCGATGTCTTCCTATCTATTGGGTATCATGTGTTGCTGCCAAAGCAATTTGAGGTGGCATCTTATACAAGGAAGAAACTAGACAGGCCTGAAGCCTACATTAGGACGATAATGAGCAAAAGAGATGGCCTAAGGTCAATGTAGACCTGGCGATTTTTTTTCCCTTGAATGAAATGAGGAAAACGTGCTTGCAATACTGATAATCAAGCCCAATTTCGTCAACTCCGTCGCAATGCCGTACCGTGTAAATGCATATTTGAACGAAAAGGATAAGACGGTACAAAAATAACAATAATCAAGCTTGGGGAATCCTGGAGCGGTCGCCGCCCTTGGCGATCCATTCTTCCTTGATGAGCTTGTCCTGCTCCAAGTGCATGAGCTTGTAGGCTGTGCGGATCGTGCCGTCGCTGACTTCGACAGCCAAACCAATCTCCTTTGGCGATTTGGGCTGACCCATGAGGTGGGAGACGAGGTAGAGACAGGCGCCGGCGATAGAGAGGGGGGAGCGTCCGGCTGCAACTCCGTAGTGGGCGACCTGATCCGCGCACTCTTCTGCGACCATCTGGACTTGTGTTCCAAGGGCGAGTTTGGCGCAGGCACGGGGCATGAGACTTGCGGCGCTGGTGGCTGTGGTACCTCCTTTCTGGTTGAGAAGGTTGACAGTGTCGATGACGGCACCATTTCCTGCAACTGACGGCCCGTTATTCTGGGACTTTTGTATGAAGGCCTCGAGCACCTTGAACGTACGGCCAACTTCCTTCTTGCTCACGTTGGTCATCTTGAAGATCTCGCGGAAACTGCGCTGCTGGTCGTGCTTTCTGCAGGCTATGAAGATGCACCCGGCGATGATAGCGTCTTGCGATTTGCCCTTGAAGAGTTTTGCGTCGTCGGTCATCTTGAACAGCATCTTGGCCGTCTCCGCGGTCGGACGGCTGATGTTCTGTGAATCGCAGAGCGCTGAGATCTGTCCATACGCAGCCTGCAGCGCCTTGTTGACCTTGTCATGGTTGGTCTTGTTAAGCGCGCGGCTCAAGTCCCTAGACCTCATACCGCCGTCACCGAAACTGATCTCAGTCTGCAGCTGAGAACCGTGTAGCAGGGGGTTCGCGGCGTCTCCGATACGAGAGGGGTCGTCGTTTCCTTGATCTAGATACAGGACGCAGTGTCAGCATGAGTGTCACTTGCATTTCCTCCAAGCAGGCAAGTACTTGCCGTCGTTGGAAAAGGTGCGCCACTCGGAACGCGTGTCTATAGTCCTCTCTGCGAGTACGCGACCGCAAGAACCGCAGATGGTGTCGCCGGCGCTGAACTCTTCGACCAGATTGGGAGGGTTTTCTTTGCAGTCGGGGCAGATCATGGCAACGTTCAGGTCTTCCTGCCACTCGTCTTCTTTCACGAGTGTGGGTGCGGCTTCATACACCTCGCCAGGCGACAGCAGACGGCCATCGGGGGCGTACGACATCTTCGAGCAGTTGCGGACGGGCTATAGAGTGTATTTCGTTATCTAGCTATTGCGCGCGGTCGACCGACACACTTGTAGGCTGCGTCCGGGCTGGAGCAGGATGAGCGAGTGCGGTGGTATGAGACAGGCTGCGTGACTGAAGGAAAGTCTGCGACGACAAACTTGTAGTTCGGCGCGCAGGCAGCCATTGCTGGGCTTGGCACGAAGCTAAGCCGTTTCGGGTGGCGGCTCAAGCTGCGGCGGTCCACGGTTTTTCCCCAACATCGACCTTCACTGTAGCTCCCATTGCCAGCTTCCCCACGTCACTACACCTACACAATGATCGCGCAATCCATCAGGGCCTCGGTACGCTCCTACTGCTGGTGGAATCTGGACACGTACTGACCTGCCACAGCGCCAGGCGCTCGTCCGCGTTGCCCGGCAGCAACCTGCCCTTGTCGCTCGCCGCACTTTCATCACTCCCTCGGCCGTCCGATCAGGTGATTCATCCCGAATGCTTGAAGACGCGACAGTACTGACCCAATTGGTGCCGTAGCCGACCTAGTGCAGGACCTCTACCTCCGCGAGCTCAAGGCCTACAAGGTCCCCGAAGTCAAGGCATCCGATGCTGAGGCCCACGTCCAGAAGTTCACCGTGCCCAAGGCCCCCGCATCCCCCGAGGAGACCGACATTGCGAACGAGTTGAAGTCATACGAGACACAGGCAGTTGACGTTGAGGGCGCTCAGGGCGAGGACGACGCTGTGCTCCCACAAGAGGACTGGTTCGAGGAGGAGGACGAGAGCATTACCACCGCCGGTGCCACCCATTAGAAGAGCGTTGCTGGGTGAGGGAGATCATGTATCAAAACACTAGCGACTGTGTCAATACCATTGAGCGATGAAGCCAGCGGGAGCTCTGTTCGGGCATATGTGAATCACGTGATGTGACTATGACCTCGAGTTCAACGTGGGGGTACACGAGCAGATAAAGTTGTGACTATCGATGCTAAGCTTAGTCGGGCGAGTGCTTTGGTTCGAAACCACTGTCTTTGTCTCAACAAGCTGAACTAAGCTGCTCGCGGATATGATTCTTTTTGACTCGTTGCGGACCGTGATCTACAAGTACATGAGACGTGGGAGTTCTACAGCTAGCCTCGTCAGGGTCTGGCATCCGTGCTCGTGCTGATGCTCTGGGAACTAAGAGGGGCTCGCAGCTGTTGAACTGTGTACTTTTTGTGCATGTGCATTGCTGTTTGAGAAGCAAGCAATCTACCACTTGGCATACGTTCAGGAGAGGGGTGCTCGAGGGGTTAGGCATTGAGGGATTTGTGGGGTGCCAGGATCGTCGTGAGGTTCTGACAGCAGCCCGATTGCTTTTACGTGCCAGGCTGTAACGAGAGACTGAATGTCGCATCTATGCCTACCTCAGAGGACATTCACACACGACGCGTCGCATTCTGACCGGCTTGATGCACGCTGTTCCGACAGGCATGCGCGGAATGATGATCGCTACACACATGCACACGCGACTGCAGCGACCGTGGCCCCTCAGATAAGCCGGGCTGCGCACTCAGCTGTGCACTACACAGTAATCGTCAGGCTGGCATATCCCGTTCCGACAATGCTCACGGTTCGGAACTTCGGACAAAGCACAGGATACGCGTGGGTCAGAAGGAGCCTCGCAATTGGAGTCTGCCCCAGTAGCTGCAGGCACGGTCGCCTATCGCACCATCTGCATCTGCGGCTTTGCATACCGACGTCCTAGTGCCATGCGTGCCATGGACTTTTTTCGGTTGAGAGGTTTACCCTGAGGCACTAGCACCTGTCCACCGTAGTCAACCGTACTGGTCTCATACTGCAGAGCAGAAAGCAGTACGTCAAGATAAGTCATGAGAGTCGAGCCGTTATACGAGGCGGTACCCAGGTAAGCTACTGGGGTCTGCGGTATGTCTAGGGACCGGCCAGGAGATTACGGCAGCGAGAGATTGCAGTGTTCGCAGTTCACGTCGCGAAAAAACAAGTTGGTTCGCCGGGGGCCCACCGCGCAGCAGACGCATCTTGCCCCGACCGTGTCGCTGCATCAGATGCGCAGCACCGTCACACAGGCAGGCATGCCAGCTGCGACGATCCGAAAGGCGTCATGCTGGCGGTGGGTGGCGGGCTAGAGCTCGTACTGCTCCCAGCGTGGAAATGTAAAGAAACGGCGCGGCGCGGGTCAGTAGACGAAAGGCAAATGATACCAAGAATACGCCCGTTTTTAATATAGAATTATTGTCGCTCCGACGCGATCTGCGCAGGCGACGACCCCTGCTAGCCCCAGTTCGTCCGCTTGCGAAAGCGTCAAAGTAATAGCCCTCAACCTGCCCCCAGCGGCGTCAGTGAGCGCGGAATCTCTAACCCAAGGCCTGCCAGTCGCTACTGAACTTACTGCCCGATCCTGTCGCAGCAGATTCCACTCGCTTTGCTCTCCCCCGCGTCCTCTGAGCGGCTGCCGTTCGCTTCCGGTACCACAGCCTCACTTGTGACGTCTTCGCGCGCCCGGCTGGAGTATACTGCACCTTTGCCCGTTCACTGCCTGCTGCACAACGGCCCGCCTGACAGCACAACGCCGCAACCGTCCCAATTCACCGCCATGAGCCCGTAAAGTTTCTGGAACACGTCAAACTTTACGAATTCCCGGCTGTTTCCTGCTGCCTCGCCCACGTCCAACCCACCCGTCGCCATGCCCATCGCCGTTGCTTCGGCTCCTCGCGGCCACTACTCCCTCGCGAATGCCATTCGAGGCAGGAGCAGAGCCGCCTCAGAGGTTG